AGAGAATCGGATAGGAGAGATATTACTGCTAATATAGTTCCTCGTCTTTCACCTTATAAGGTATCTCCTTCTATTTGGTTTTGGTACGTTTGGCTTGGAATGAAAGTAATTCATTGTTGTGAAATGATGGAGATTCATGCAGAGTACATAGAAGTTCCTTCTCACTTTTTAAGGTATAAATAAATGAATTAAAGATTATCCTGGACAAAAAAGAGGTTGGTTTATCTTTGATTCATGTTTGGATTATAAGTCTCGTGTATTACGGAATAAAATACTAGAACACATCATTATGAAATAGTAGTTGTTATTCTCTTGTGCACTTCTTCATCAAGCTCTTGAATGTTGTTCATCTTCTGTTACCTGTTCTGACTTATCTTCATTCATTCTTGATCTGCATAGTTATCATTCTGATGCTCTCTATCAACTGCGCTTGCGCTTGATGTGGTCGCAGTTATTCACTTTGACTTCTTTTTACTCTCGTTTCTGTTTTCCTGCGTCTAATCAAAAAAAACTTACACTATCTCAACTACTATCATATGATCCTCACACACATATTGTTCGTTCTCTTCCTTATGGGTTATTGTCTACACGCGACTCTCTTTTTATAATTAATACGACTTCTTCCGCATTAAGCACCTAATGTTGGTTCTGGCTTTAATAGTAAACAATACAACTTTTTATTGCGGTTATTCGTTACCTCTCTTCGCACCTCGCATTTATTCCTGTCTCCTTCCCCTTCTACATGGATGTTATATATACGTATACTGTCATTTTGCAGCTCTTGTTCTTATGTGTCTACTTTATCATCCTTTCATCTCTGTGAATTAATTGGCTTGTATATTTAATATTCACAGTTCGCCTGTGGTACTTACCATTTCTACAGGATATATACCACCTGCCCTCGCTATATTAACCTGTTGTTTTATTGTGTGATAAATAACAATACTGTTTGCCACTGATTGGTACTATCTTGGTTTCTTAAGCCTGTCCTCTTAAAATATTTTCGTCAAGAAGAGATTCTATATGAAACATATGATCTTCATACAAATACATGGATGAATATATAGTTGTTTGATATCCATATTTAGAAAAGGACACACACAAACACAATTAAAACAACTAACTTACCACATACCAAGAACAGAACACACAACAATATTAATAACAACATCAACAGACACTATACGACACAACATATACAACAATACGAAATAATAACACACCTTATCAAAAACAAAAACAAAAATACCTTTCAATTAGACAGACAGCATTCAAATAATAATTAATATCTCTTCAATATAATAAACCCAAAATTATAAGAATTATTTACCAACACACAGAATAATTTATATAACAAAAAAAATTATTATATTAGATTACATATTACAATTAATTAAAACAAAAACAAAATTCTTATACAACTTAAAATGTATAATTTATGTATTTATTTTTATTGATTTTTCATTATGCAAGGAAACGACCCACCCAAAATTTTACTTGTTGGTAACCATTTGTCGTCACAAACTTTCGTTCCCCCTTTTTTTCATTAAGAAAAAGTTCCCCTCCACCATTCCTGCATTTTTATCAATTCATTACTCAACTTGAAGTAACTAATAAAGAGAATCAAGTTGATTAAGGGAATAAATCAGCAATAACGATCAGGCAATATTCATTAATTTAAGTTAGGTTCACCCCATATTTTTCCTCTTGTCTCACTGACCCCCCTTTGCATAAGCTCTAACGCCCCTATACAGTTTTTGACCAGTGTACGCTTTAAACCTGGTGAGTCTTTAACCTAAATAATGATGGGTTATTGGTGTTTTTCTCCAAAATTGAGGGTTAGTCCCACAATGTACTTGTGGTGTGGAAGTATTTATTCCCCGACCAACATGAGTAATATATTTCCACACACATCACACACCATGCAGTGTTCATGTACACACATAACTCCTGTCAACAAGCATATGTGGACATTCTGACAAACACCATATCAAAAACCAGCTTTGGTTTGCGTCATGTTTTAGCATTAGCTAATACGACAAACACACACTTTTCTCACAGGTATCTTTACCTAATTAACAGACAGATTTTTTCCGTAACTCACATTCATAATATTTGCTTTATGGTAATGCAGGCCTTTTCTTCTGGTACTGTTTATGGTCTGCACATTTACCTGTTTTCATTCTTGTGTGTGGTTTTGTACTTGGGTTTAATATTGGATTCAGTCACTTCGCGCATAAAGTCTGAACAACCTAGAGAAGAGAAGATGGAATAACGAAGTGATCACTACCAAATAGAACTGTGTATGGAAAGATAAAATAAAGATAAAAGATCATCAAATCAGCCTTTCGTATGATGTCCCTCTAAACCCAGGATTCAGAGGAAACATCAGTTTTAAACTTTTAATGGAACGTAGGGAAAATAGTTTAGCCTTCCTGTTCATTAATACTCTGGATGTAGTTAAACAGGGTGGTAAATGGTGCCATGGACCCTCTTTCTCATGTAATTGTTATATGTACATGTGTCCGGAATTCGATTTAATTTAGTCCTCACTTCAAGGTTTAAATCCTTATCTATATCATTTTTCTCCACTATCTTTAACCTTTTTATAACTTGTCTGTTCCCTTCAGCATATCTTAAAGTGAATCTGGAATTTCCCAAAACTGTCACATATATTGTGTTTCTTGAGAAGACTGTTAAATTTAGTAATCAAAACTGTTTTATGCCATCACAATGGTGTTGTTTTCTTATATAACCGATGTTAAACACCTGATTTGATTGTTTGAAATCTTGGGTTCCTGGACCTCCTAGGTCTGGCAGATGGGGTAAAGGTGTACTCCCAGTGTGTCAGTCACAACAAAGCCCACTTTCTTATCACACCATCAGGTGTGTTGATATTTGCTCCTCAGGGGTCCATGGTTTTCAGTTACTCTTTAAAAGTCCAGTGTTGTAGATAAATTGGGTGCACTCCACAGGGTTTTTTGTAACCCATATTCTAAACAATGAAAGGACAGGGTTTACAAACTTGTTTCTTTGGAGATTACTTCCCTATACAAAAAATGTTGGATTGCTGGTGCATTACCAATCAATACCAATAATATCATGTGGAACATTCACCGCCAGATCATCTTTAACTTTATAGGTCCAAAAGGAACAAACTGGGTACAACCACAAAAAAATCACGGTTTTTTTCTTGTTGTTTTTGTCCTCTTCATCCTTCCCTGGGAATCCCATCATTACTCTCCAAAACTTTGAAATGTGTGTCACCCACGGCTTCTGGGGTCCATCCTTTTACCCTTCTTGGTTTGTCTGATAGCCACCTCCATCGGGGCCAACACCTCCGGGCTATCTAATTCCATCTTCATCTGTCGCTTTCCTTTACCCTTCTCTTCCTGTTATGCCTTTTCGTCTCCATCTGTGGTGTCTCTTTCCATCTTACATCTCTTCAATTTTCTCCCCCAACAACACAATATTCTCCCATCCTCTTGTACTGACTTCCCCTCCCTCTCCTCCTTTTCTCTCATACGGCTCACATATGTAATCTCACCAGGATCTGAATATAGTTATTTTGTCATACCAACCCAGGAATCACTGCTCCCTGCTCATATTGGTAGGTTATCAAATACAGTGGACGAGATATGAGAGAACA